TGGTAAGGTAAAAGAAAAGAAGGTACACCCTGTACACCCTGTTTTTATTTGTCATCATTGTGGTATGCATGGTCATATTCGCCCTTATTGTTATAAGTTGCATGGGAGAGTGTCTCAAAAGGATAGAAATTCGATTTACATGTCTAGGCGGAATACCAAGATTCATGAGGGTGTTCACAACACCGCGACATTTACCAAGACCGCTAGACCTAATTTTGTTAAGATCAAAAAGATTTGGGTGAGAAAACTTGACTTGTGTTAATTTGTTTATTTGTTTTAGCTTTTGGTTTTTTTTTTGTGTGTTAAAAAAAAAAAAAAAAAAGGAAAAAAAAAACCCAAAAAGATTTTCTTTGTATGGTTTTGCAAGCTTGAAATTTTTTGAGTGGTCCTTGGTACATATTGGAATTGATGAGAAAATCCATTACATGTTAATATGTGTGTGCTTTCTGTGGTCATTACTCATTTTGGAGTGTGTGTCCTTTGATTAGTATGTCTCATTCTGTACACTTTCTTGGATTAGCAAATTCTGGAGTCTTCCGCCCTAGTGATTATTTTTTTTTTCCTTGGACTTCTGGCATTGTATCTTTTGTGTTTCTAGAGGAATTGACCTATACTAGCATATCATGGGTGATGTTGAGTCTCTTAACCACCTACCATCTTTTTTGCACCTCCATGGCTTTCCTCTTAATTCTTTGCAGTCTAGCCATGAGGAAAAGGCTACCTCAGAGCCACCAACCAGGCCATCCTTATTATATCCATGCTTCTCTGGTTCGGTTTCCATACTCTTGAGCGTGTCAGCCACCAATGATTGTGCAAAAGAAAAAGAAAAAAAAAAGGAGAAAAAGAAAAAGAAAAAGAAAAAAAATATGCAAAAGAAGAAAAAAATGTGCAAAAGAAAAAAAAAAGAAAAGATTCATTGATTGAGGGGGAGCCTCCGCCTTTACTCACCAAATACCCCTTGATTCCTAGTGGTTTGACTTTCCTTTGTCGTGCTTAAGATTCTCTTGTCGGAGGTCCGGTTATCATATCACTACTAGGATTGAATCTAGTGTTTGTCGAACTTCAAGAGTCACACACACACTTTTTATCATGGGATCTATGCTTTTCACATTATGCATCACTTTCTTTCATGAGGAATTTTCTACAGACTGTGCACATTGTGTTTTCTAGTAATGGTGCTTCTTGGATAGTCTTGTGTGTTTTAAGGTACTAATCTGAAATTCCTTGCTTGCTCCACCATATTATTTTTTATCGTTTTCTTCTTGTTCACTGTTTTCAGTGTTTGTGGTTGCTCTTAGTGAGGGGAAGTTTGGTTCATCTTGATTTGGGTTGGTAAGGGAGTTTGGTTTCTCATTGCAAGAGTTGTTTAGCATGAACACTTTGATATGTTTGGTAAAGGAGATTGGCTATGTGTTTTGCATGTTGCTCTCTGCACGATTTGCCCTTCTTGTATGTTCATGATATTTATATCGTCATATCATTGCTTGTGTGGTTTATGATCTTGCTTTTGTTGTTTGAGAGTTGTTTTTCATGAGTCTTAGTTTTCATCTATTCATGTTTTCCATCTCATGTTTCAAGATAATCATATCATAGTTATGTGTATATGTCTATTACTTATTCATATACTCTTGTGGGACTAATAGTTGTTTTGGAGATTTGTGGCACTAATGACTGTTCTGCAGATCATACTTGAGAAAGAAGTTGGCTTTTGTTGCTGTATTGGGTTGGGGTTTAGGTTTTATTTGTTAGGTGTGTTTGTCACGGCATTGCCAAAGGGAGATTGTTAGGTTTTATTCTTGGCAATCCCGTTGACAAAATCTTTCAGTTGTATTATTTTCGCACATTTATTTCAGTGAGGCTATGAGTGTTAGATGCGAATCCACCCGAATTGTGCTTTTAAGAGGAAGTTTTGTGATGCTAACGCTTTCAAGATTGCACTATCGTGATTATGACAGGGTCGAGCTGTCGATGTGTTATTTTTTCAGTTTCATTTTGTCCCGTCCGAGCGGGAAAAAGGGCGCTCGAGCGGGGTTTGCGAGCTCACAGTATCTCTGCAATGCTGAAAAAATACTGGTGGGTGTGATTTTAGCTCGAGCGGATTATCCGTCGCTCGAGCGCATCTCAGTTTGTTCGCCAGATTTTTGGTCATGCTCGCTCGAGCAGCTGTGTTGAGCTCGACGCGGAGATCGCGATCAGATTTCCAGATTTGATTAAAGAGTTGTTTTCTTCTGAATCTAGGATTACTTTTGGTTTCTATAAAAACTTGGTTTTCTCCAAAACTAGGTTTTTTTGAATTGAACTTTCCAGATCTCTTTTTTGGATCTTAAGTTTATATCGGAGATATTTGTGAGTTTTCTTTGATGTTTTATTGAGTATTCAACTCATGGTTTAAGAGAGTACATCAAAGGTTGTGTTTTGTTCTACAAAAGAAGAGTTGTTCTTCAGTTGTGGATTCTGAGATTCGAGCCTGAAGCTTTGGTGAATCCGGAGTGCTCATCAGAAGACAATTCCGTGGTGAAGATAGGGTTGGAAAGAGGCACATAGAGGTTGGTTCAATTAGGTGTTGTGGATTCGCTAGATAATTGAGAGTATACCTGTGTATTCCTTTAATTCTTCTTAGTGTATTGTTTTGTGGCAGTTGCGTGGTTTTTTATCACAAGTTGGAGGTGTCAATTGTGGTTTTTCCACGTTAAATCGTTGTGTCTCTTTGTCTTGATTGTTTGATTGATTGTTATATTCTGCTTAAAATTGATACATAATACAAATCAACATCTAGGGATTTCTAGATTTTTCAAAAGGATGTCCATCAGGAACAATTTACATTTAATTTTAATCCACTAATAAGGAAATGAGAAAGTCAAGAAAGTAAGTCTTTAGCTTAGCTTTGATTGCTCTTATCGTTTCATTGTTTCTCACCAAGCATTCTTGTCAGTTGATGATCAATAAAGAAGAAATTCAATTGCTACTTATCATACCTTGACAAGCTAGTGACGTACACACCAAGTATATGTTTATAACTTACATTCTCTAATTTTTTACATTCCAAGCAGACTATAGTCATTGAGATTAAGTTATAAATAGTAAAATCATTCCAATATGACATGGACTGCAAAAGCCTAACAACGATGGAAATTTCCAAACTCAACTCATTTAGCTATGCATACTAAACAATGAAATTAACATTACTCTAGAGCAGATCAAACCGAAAAACAAGAAGAACAAGGCAGAGAAGAAAAGAGAAAGAGAACGAGAAGAGAGAGAGAGAAGAGAGAGAGAGAGAGAGAGAGAGGAGAGAGAGAGAGAGAGGGAGAGTACCTTGAATGAGAGTATAACAACATTATTCAACCTAATCTTGGATGTACGAGTGTCATCAGCAAGTGCAATGCAGATCATATCTTTTCTTTTCTTGCCTAAACACCAAAGAGTAAAATCATAAGATGTGTTGTTACAACCCACAAAAAAGTCCATGAACCATTAGAAGCAGCAGAATAAAAAACAATGAAACTCCCACATACTTTGAGTGCAAACACACAACAACAAAGCAATTAACAATTGCCGAACCAATACTAAATTCAATATATTTTTGTTTTTATAAATGAATCTATTTCTTTCTCATGGATTAAAACATATATATGGACCATTAAACTTGATATCAGTTTCAATGCTGTGCTGGAAATTAGTTATGTAGACTTCTTGCTAACCATTGATAAGCATGAAAGACCCAAATTAATGATAAACTGCAATCGATAGACAAATCCCACACTTAGTGAGGATTAGCCTTAGAATCATAGATCATATTGGGGTAACAAAATATAGAACTTTAACTTGCTAGTGATATATCTCTGTCCAAAAAAAGGGACAAAGCGTGTAAGTTGAGAAAAGAGAAGTCCAGCAGATCCATAGTACCAAAATTGGTACCTTGGTCAAGACACAACCAGCCAATGTCAGCAAAAAGTGTTTTAGAAAAGGTAAAAAGGTTAAAAAAGTTTTGAAACAATGAAAGTGTTTTGAAAAAATGAAAATGCTTGTATTCTTCACATTTTTTTTTGTTGTGTGTGTGTCTATTTTCTTGCTAAGATTAGATTGCACTTGTTAGCAAGAAGGTATGTTAGCGTAAATTCAAAACATGTAGTAACACAGAAGGTATGTAGTCTAAATCCAAATAAACAAATTTGGAACAACAAAAAAACTACCTTGGATTCAAACAAAAACTTGCTGTGAAACAAAAATTCATAAAGTAAAGAAAACTAAGAGATAGAAACCTGTTATGCAAAAGCAGTACACCTTAGGTGAATAACTAGTGAAGCAAGTCCAATAAATCATCTCCAGATTTGTGCTTCACTGCATGTGAATAACTAGTGAACAAGTCCTTAAATATACCAAAAACATATATTAAGCAATTGAAGCCAATTCAATTAAGAATCATTCATTTCTTTTTTTCTTTTCTTTTTTGTGAAAATGTTTAAGTTCCAGCACCTAAAATCTCACTTCACCTGTTCTTCTTTGATTATCCGACCATTACGTAATTTTTTGCATTGAAAGACTATAGTAAAGACTAATATAGGCAGAAAATAATTATTTGAAGTGAAGGAACTCCAAAAGAACCATTACTTTGTCAGAATCCAGCATTCGAAAAGCTCTAATTAACGAACATAGCAGTTCATTAATCCAGTTAAAATTATAGTAGCTTGTAACACTGATTAATAATGTTTGTTATCAATTCAAAAGTTAAAAAAACTTCTTGCTCAAAACTTTAATCTCCTAACCCTAGAATGTAAAACAGTCACTCATTAAGACTAACTACCAATATGTCGTTAGTAGCTTGTCACATCTTGTTTATAAGGACAATAAATGTTGTTTTTATTTATTTGTTTTGTATTTATGTGGTAGTTCATGGTATTATAACTTTTTTTATAAAGATAATTTTTGGGTTATTCATTTCTACCACTATTTTATTCCTTGTGCACACAATTTTAATAATAAATTTTATTATAATTTTACCATTAACAAAATGATATATAGACATCAATGCATACCAACTCTTAAAACTAGCTTTTCTCTACACACATCATTTAGAAAAAAAATTCTCAATACATATCTAAAAATAAAAAATAAAAATAAATAAAAATTAGAATACATACGCTACGACGAGTGATTTTTGTATGCATAATAGGGTATATGCATGTGTACTTCTACTATTTGTGATGGTTTTTGACAGTAGGTCCATACATTTATGTTGGATGTTTGGGAAATAATAGGGGACATATACATTTGTGATTAGTGAAGTACTCTATTGGCATCAAAAAATTTCTCCTAAGACCTACATTGTTCTTGGCATTGTTTTTCCTCCCCATTGTTCGTCTAATTACTCTTCTGTCATTTCTTAATTTATGTGATGAAGATTTACAAAATAATGAAGTTAGATTTGAAGAAGAATATGTGTTTACAAACAATGCATCAAATGAAAATGCTTGTTTTTTTATGTGTAAAAGTTCTATTTTTATTTT